TTCCAGGCAGAGTTCTCCATGAGCCCTGTGACCTCAGCCCACCGGGGCACCTACAGGTGCTACAGTTCACTTAGCCCCTCCCCTTACCTGCTGTCACTCCCCAGTGAGCCCCTGGAGCTCCTGGTCTCAGGTGAGGGGCCCCTGACCCTGTCCTTTTTGAGTTCAGTCATTGAGGGCCCTGTGCAAAGAAGAGGTGAGGCTAGGATAGAAGAAATACAGTAAGAGTGCCTTGGGCTGAGCTGTGGGATGAGGTGGGGAAGGCCTTTGTAATGCAGCCTCTTGTTTTCTCCAGGGCCCCTCCCCAAACCCACCCTCTGGGCTGAGCCAGGCCCTGTGATCCCCCAGGGGAGACCCCTGACCATCTCCTGTCAGGGGACCCAGGAGGCTGAGGAGTACCGTCTGGATAAAGAGGGAAGCCCAGCACCATGGAAAAGAGAGAAGCCACAGAAGCCCGGGGACAAGGTTACATTCTCCATCCCATACATGACAGAGCGTGATGCAGGGATATTTCGCTGTTATTCTCTCAACCTTGATGTCTGGTCAGAGCCCAGTGACCCCCTGGAGCTGGTGGTGACGACAGGTGAGAGGACACTCAGGGGTCCCAGCCTCAGGCTCTGCCCTCAGGGTGTCTCCCTCTCACAGCCCAGCCCTGGGGGACATGAGGGAGGTGTGATCCCATTTAACAGGCTGTCTCCTCCTCTCCTAGGATCCTACAGCCAACCCAGCCTCTCAGCCCTGCCCAGCCCTGTCGTGACCTCAGGAGGGAACCTGACCCTCCAGTGTGGCTCATGGCAGGGATTTGGCAGGTTCATTCTGACTAAGGAAGGAGATCACAGGCTCTACAGGAAACTGAACTCACAGCGACATCCCAGTGGGCAGTTCCAGGCCCAGTTCCCTGTGGGCCCCATGACCCCCAGCCATAGTGGGACATTCAGATGCTATGGCTGTTACAGGAACAGACCACAGGTGTGGTCCCCAGCCAGTGATGCCCTGGAGCTCCTGGTGTCAGGTGAGTCCCATTATTGCTCTATCCATGGACTGAGCTACTTTCCAGGTTGTTGGCATCTTTGCTGTGAGGGGACCCCCATGTGAAAAAGTGGGGTGAGGGGAGCACAGCGGCTCCTGGGCCAGAGACAAAGAGCGAGACAATGAGATATGAGTGCCAGGCCAGCAGAGGGTGTTTATGGGAGGAGCAGCCCCTGTAATTCATGTCTGGTCTCCCCAGGTGAGTCTGGGAAGCCCTCCCTCCTGAGCCAGCAGGGCCCCATCATGGCCTCTGGACAGAACCTGACCCTCCAGTGTCGCTCTGATGTCGGCTATGACAGATTCGCTCTGCACAAGGAGTGGGGACGGGACCTCCCCCAGAGCCTTGTCCTGCAGCCCCAGGCTGGGCTCTCTCAGGCCCACTTCCCCCTGGGCACTGTGAGCAGCTCCCACGGGGGCCGGTACAGATGCTACGGTGGATACAACCTCTCCTCTGAGTGGTCGGCCCCCAGTGACCCCCTGGACATTCTGGTGGCAGGTGAGGAGCCAGTGGGTTGAGTCAGGGAACCAGACTCTGCACAGGCCCTGCTGGGGTCTCAGGTGGTGAGGCCATAATGACAGTGCAGGCCCCAGGGAGGGAAAGAGACAGAGAGAAACAGGGGGTGGAGAGGGAGAGGGGAAGACTCAGGAAACAGAGACTGAGATGAGGGTCCTCAGAGAGAGGCCTGGTGACTCTCAGGTCACAGCAAGGTGGGCAGGCAGCCCTCACCCTCCCTCTCTCTCTCTAGGACACCTGTCTGACAGACCCTCCCTCTTGGTGCAGCCAGACCTCAGAGTGGCCTCAGGAGAGAACGTGACCCTGCTGTGTCAGTCACAGAGCCCAAGGGACATGTTCCTTCTGTCCAAGGAGGGGACAGCCAATCCCCCCCTACGTCTGAGATCAAAGCACCGAGCTCAGCAGTTCCAGGCAGAGTTCTCCATGAGCCCTGTGACCTCAGCCCACGGGGGCACCTACAGGTGCTACAGCTCACACAGCACCTCCCCCTTCCTGCTGTCACTCCCCAGTGAGCCCCTGGAGCTCCTGGTCTCAGGTGAGGGCCTCCGACCCTGTCTGCTCAGCTGTCCGCTCACTTTTGGTCCCAGAACAATTCTGCTTTGAATGGGGAGTGAGGGGCTCTAGAAATGGTCACCCATATAATTTTCTGTTAGAGGCTCCCTCCCACTGTTCAGCCCTCCCCCTCACTTGGAACCAGAAGGTGCCAGGTGGGCAGTGGGAGGGTCTGAGGGGCCATAGCGCAGATGCAGGTAGAGTCTGAGTGAGGTGGGGAGCCCAGGGTTGGCCCCAGACTCTGACACCTGTGTCCTCCTTCCCACGACCTTCTGGGACCCCAGCCCCCACTCACAGGGCCCATGTCCACAGCTGATGAACCACTGAGTTTCCTTTGCTCAGAGAGCACTGACCACCTCAGGGTAGGTGCATCTAATGCCTGAGCAGAGGTGAATGCACAGAGTCTGGGCAGGGGGCCCCAGGTCCCCTTGTGCCCTGCATGGTCCCCCTTGAGTGTCCGGTGAGCAGTGAGGGCCTGGAGGCCTCCAGGGAGCACAGGGACTTTGCAGAGTGGTGCCCACAGGTGGGAACACTTCCTATTACAGCAGGGTTCCCAGTGGGGACAGCATTGTCACACACAGCAGGTCCCACGTAGACCGGAGCAGCCACCTGAGTCTCTGAGCATCTAATGCCCCCCTGACTCGTAAGAGAGGCTTGTGTCCCACGGGCCTGGGAGCCTGGGAGAGATTGTAGTGGAGCCATCATGCTCCAGGGGCCCGAGCATTCACGTATCCCCCCGCCGCCTGCCATGTAGACTGGCCCAAGTGGGGGAAGTGAGGCAAGGGACAGGTGGGGTGGTCATGGCAGAGGGAGATGTTGGGGCCCAGGCTGGTGGAGGAGGCGCCAGGCTCAAGTGGGGAGAAGGCAGCTTCATCCCTCACACTCCCTGACCTTGGCTCATGGTGAATGGGGGACTCCCTGGCAGAGGGGTCTCAGTGCTCCCTGAGGTTATGAATTTGGTCCTGCGGGGGGGATACCTGAATGCTGTGTCTGAATTTGGCCCCCTAGCTCCTGGTCCCAGGTGAGCAGCCCTGTCCTGTCCTCTCTGAGCTCCAAAGTCATCTCTGTCTCTGTTCCCAGCTACGTCTGAGATGTGATGGAAGTAGTGGGAGCACTGGGTGGTTCCACAGAGGAGGGTCATTTGTGAAAAGGTGGACACAGGCAGCACCTCCCTCCCCTGGGACCGCCCGGCCCTGCAGTCTCAGACAGGCCTGAGGGAGGAGAAAGGCGGCATGACTCCAGGTGATGCTAAGAGAACTGAGATTTGACTGAGATGACCAGGCAGAGGCCCTGCCCCGTGACTTTTGGTGGCTCCACTTCAGACCAGAGCATCGCTGCTCCCAGGGGGACATCCCACAGGCGGGACCCTGGGAAATGGGGCTGAGTGTGTGGGGACTCAGCTCTCCTGGGAGGTGAACTCTGAGAATCCTTTCCCTCAGAACACGGGGTTGCCTGGCCATGACCTGCAGGGGTGCTTTCATTTCTGACTTCCTGGGGTACCTGACACCTGGCTTGTCCTAGACCTGCTCCAGGTGCAGCCTCTCTTGGCCTGTCCTGCTGCTCCCAGTCACTGTGACCTTGTAGGGATTGAAAAGCTGAGGGAGTCAGGGGGCAGGTACACTGATTATCCACCAGGCCTGGGGGCTCAGCTTAGCAAGAGGAGCCACAATGTTACGGAGACACCAAAGATTGGGAAACTCCCACTGAGCATCTCAGCTCCTCCTGGTTCCACACAGAATCTGTGGGGTTCTCCACCAGAAGCCAGCAGCCCTGCATAGTTTGCCTGGCACCCGGGTCCCTAACCCAAGTGGAGAGTGTGTGGAGTGGACGATGGAGAGCAGGCCAGGTTGGCAGCCTTTGGTGCCCAGGCCTGGCTTGTAGCACAGGGAAGATGGCTGGGCTGATGGGGGAGGAGAGGCCGGGAGAGGTGGAGAGAGGACAGGGGACACTCCCTCAGCTGCTCATTTCCAGAGCCCCTTGGATGGAAGCCCTCACCACACAGGTGGGGGCCCTGAGCCTTCTCATAGCAGGACAGGTGGCTGCTCTGGTCAAGATGGGACCAGCTGTGGGTGACAATGCTGTCCCTACTGGACACCCTGCTGTAGTAAGAAGTGTTCCCACCTGTGGGCACCACTCTGCAAGGCCCTGTGCTCCCTGGAGGCCTCCAGGCCCTCACTGCTCACTGGAGACTCAAGGGGGACCATGCAGGGCACAAGAGGACCTGGGGCCCCCTGCCCAGACTCTGTGCAGTCACCTCTGCTCAGTATTTCAGGCAATACTTCAGTCTATAAACTCACAATTTAACTTTCAATATAAATGGATCCAGATTGAAATATAAACATTCTATTCCTCTTTTCATTGGGAGCTGATTAAATTCAGACATTTTTATGGAGAACAACTTCTTGTTTATATAATGTCTTCTTATCACACACATTTTCAAGTGAGGTTTATGCATGAACCTTAGAAACATGTGACAGCTATTTGTAAAATTCAGTAAATGCACAGCCCACTTAGAGAATTGCACAACTAATATTGTAATTTGAAAGTAACCTGTTTGATTCCTGTACATTTTCAAAATGGTAGTAAGTGCACATAGGAAAGCTCTTGGTTTGGGCATATTTATTTCATGACTGTTAGCCTCCTAAAGACTCTCTCCCTGTGGACTGTTTTTCAGTTGATCCCTCCAACATGCTGATAAAATTATAATAGCCACCAGGCCAAGGAAATGTCACTTCTTTATTCCCAATTACATACCTATTTTTCTCACTCCACACTTAACACAATGAAATGAGGGATTAAAATGTTCCAGAGTTTCTCTTCCGGAAAACAGCCTAATTCACACCCAACCTCATGTCAAGGCAAACCCATTAAGAATTCTACATTTTATGTTGAAAGCACTATTGGCCCCTTTGTTCTAATCTGTTCTTCTGTTTCATTAGGGTTTACTAGGAAGGCTCTCTTTTCCTGGCAGACACACATCTCCTCACAATTATCCTTTCTCTGACTTTTAACCACATGACACACATTACAAGGGCTTCTTGGTGTCACCCACTTGGATATTAACCCAACCGAGTAATCTGATCATCCATGTGCATTTCTAAATTGTGGAGCTGACATTTAGAGTTAATGCATGTACCACTGTAATGAGGAACAATCCATAATTTCTGTTTATATCATAGGATTTATATAAAAATGGGGTAAGAGATTGACCTAATTTCCTACTTTTGGTGCTCAGTAAATATTGAAATTAGGGGGATTTTCTCTGTGATTTAAATTTGAACCAGAGCTGTGGACTTCCTTGGTTTTGACCTTAGTTGTTTTTTGAGTTTTAAAAAAAAATCACATGATCAGCATCCACATACCCATATTTTTCATTTGGAAAATATATTTACCACTGTAGGTATTTGTTATTGTAAAATAAAGTGAGTTAATAAAAGAATCAATAGATGAACAACTTCAAGTGACAATGGACATAGCAGACCCATGAGAGGAGGGGCCTGGGTGGGGAGGGGTAAAGGAGACCCAGCCCAGACTTTCACCCCTTCGTGCTCCTGAGATCCAGGAGCCCCTGACACCAACTCCTCCTCCATGGACCCGGGGTCCCCTGCTGTTGAGACGGTGGAATCTCTCAGCTGTAGGGGAATCAGCTCATGGGGACTTGATCCACAGACTGAACACAGAGCACACAGCTCTTAGTTATTTCTGAACTGAGATCATTTCTTACTCATCCTCAGTACTTGGGCACAGCTAACTCTGATCAAGGTGAGTCAGAACAGGTATTGAGTTCAGACATCAGAGGGACACTGATGTCAAGGGGAGGTGGGAGCCCAGTTTGAACATCAAAATCCTAGAGATTTGAGTCTACCCTGATCTCTGAGACTTCTTTAACCACAATTCTTATTTTCCCATCCCCAAGACTACACAGTGGAGAATCTCACCCGGATGGGCATGGCTGGCTTGATCCTTGTGGTCCTCGGGGTGCTGCTATTTCAGGCTCAAAACAACCCCATAAGGACCCTCGATGCAGCCAGCATGTGAACACAGAGGGAACAATGCACCGTTCAGAGTGGGGGAGCCTTGGAGCCCATCTGAGGATCCCAGGAGGTGCTGAAGGAAAGTGGGGACCATAGTTGGGGAAACTGTCTGTTGAGAACGTCCAGGGGAGAAGACGTGGTAGACGAGGTTTGGGTCCAGGAGAACGTGGGCCATGTCCCTGTAGAGGACGCCTCCTCCACCAACTGGGGTGCTCTCCCTCCCTCCCTGTCCTTGCTGACCCTCCTTCACTGCTCTTCTGTTCTCACCCTGTGAAGTGAGGGTCGGTCCCACATGGCTGGTTCGGATTCACATCTATACACCCCTTCATGCTGGGTCACATCCATCCCAACAAAATGAGGTGTCTTCACAACACTGGGATTAGTTTAAATCATAAAGAACAAAGGACAGGCACTTGGTCCATAGTGGGAAAACATCATAATAATGCAGCTCAGGGACAGAATCGGGACACAAAATGGAATCAGGTTTTGTGTGATTCCATTTATGCGAAATGTCCAGGAGAAGGAAACCCATAGAAACAGAAATCAGATTGGTTTGTCTGGGGTTGACCAGGAGGACAGCTGGGAGATGGACTGTTTGTTGTTGTTATTTTTTTGTTTGTTTGTTCGTTTTTTTTTTGGGGGGGGGGAGTTTAAACTTTCTTGAAACAAGATAGATGTTGTCATTGAGACATTGTGTATTTACTGCATTCTAGTGAATTTCATATTGTAATTGCATGTTATGTGAAAGTTGCTTCAATAAAAATAAATGCAAGTGAAACACGTATGGTTCCCTACAGCTCCCTTATACCTTGGAGGTTGCACCACTGGTGTGCATAGAGTTTTATGGGAGAAGGACTCCCACCAGGTCAGAGGTGCCCTAAGTGCCTTAGTGCTTAGGGACCAACCCACTCATTACATTTCCACCTTCACTCCTGACTTGGGCTGAGTCTAGGATCCAAATGAGACCCACCATCCCTGCATCCTTTTGTCTGCGCTCATCTGCCATTCAATCAAGGATGCACTACAGCTTCCGATTTACCTTGTAGGTTTGGGGGATACACATGCGACTTCCAAACAGCCCTTCCCACCACACACCTCCCATACACATGCCTTCATCAGGTCACAAAATGACACCAGATTTCTGGTCGGCATTGCGCAGTGGTTGAGTGTTGACCTATGAACCAGGGGTCATGGTTGGATTTCAGGTCATGGCACATGCCTGGGTTGTGGGTTCCATCCTCAGGGTGGTGCTTGCAGGAGGCACCTGATCAATGATTCTCTCTCATTATTGATGTTTGTATCTCTCTCTTCCTCTCCCTTCCTTTCTGAAATCAATAAATATATAGTTTTTAGAAAAAGAAAGAAATTAACAACCGATTGGGGCTCATCATGTCTCAGGCACTGCTGATCCTCATAATAACCCTCAGAAGAAAGGTTTCACAATTTTGCCCAACATGCAAACAGGAAGAGGAGAAGAGACTGGCTCAAAATAGATGCTCAATAAACGTGTCCCAGGTCTTGAGATTACAACCTGGGAATTGTCTCCAACATGCTCTTCTACCCAAAGCATGAAGATGGAATAAACAGCATAAGACAAAGAGGTACAGTCTGGGGGACAAGAGGCAGTGAGGAGGCCGAAAGGACTGCGAAGGTTTGATGGAGAGGGATGGAGAGCAGGAGCTCTGCTCACAGAGACAAGGAAGTCAGAGAGATGAAGTGATAGGGAGAAGCAGCAGCACACACCCAGGCCTGG